AAATATTAGGCAATAACTAGTTCATTGACCATCATTTTCAGAAATTACAGTCAATTTGCCCTTTTACTGCGATTTTAAGAGACTGCAGTGTTCCCATTTCCTTCAAATGCAGCTGTGCAGACCACTGATTCAGCAAATCTCGTGGGGGTTTCAAATGAATGGTTGGGTGGGACAGGCAAGGACACCATCAAACAGCTCAGCCACTGATACACAGGAGAAATTATTTCCATCATGGATGAGGCAGAATTTTAACAGCTATTTTTAACCTCTAACTTCCCTCTTAAACACACTGCTAGGTAACAGTAAAATGCATTAATAACTGGTATTACAATAAACCTATTAATTAGAAACAAAATGAATCACCTTAGCATAAATCTCTTTAGATGGAGCATGTGCAGAATCCAGGTCTCCCACTTCTGGTTGAGTACTCTGGCTTTGCACTATGGAGCTCTACTCCACCCTTTGGAAAAGCATGAGCCTTGCTCATCTCCTACAAGGAATATTTGTAGATCTCTGCCTAGGTAGATGGGCACCTACCTCATGCCAAGCAGAGAGGCGTCTCCCTTACAGCTGTCCTTCAACTGTCTACAGCCACCCCCTGCTTTGTCTTCATGTTTCTGGCAGCTGACCTCCTCTGCCTGCCTCCAGCCACTCTCAGAGCGACTCTTGCTGTTTCCACCCACCTTTGTTCTTGGAAATGAATTTCAGATATTTCAGTCTTCTTTGCAAAACAGGTGAGAAGGTGACCTGAAGAGGAGGAGAAATCTCAAGGCCAGGGCAGACATAGTTTGAAGGGACCCTGGGCAGAAGACAGCAATGCACAAGGTGGAGCTAGGAACCTGCATTCCAACAGTTGTCACAGCATAGAATCATAGAATCGTAGAATCGTTTAGGTTGGGAAAGACCTTTAAGATCATCAAGCCCAACCATTAACCTAACACTGCCATCCCACCACTAAACCATGTCCCTAAGCACCTTGTCTGCCCATCTTTTAAATACCTTCAAGGATGGGGACTTCACCACTTCCCTGGGCAGCCCATTCCAGAGCCTGACAACCCTTTCTCTGAAGAAATTTTTCCTAATGTCTAACCTAAACCTGCCCTGGCACAACTTCAAACCATTTCCCCTCATCCTATCACCCGTTACCAGGGAGAAGAGACCGACCCCCACCTTGCTACAGCAATGAAACTACTTCGGGAATAACACTGAGAAGTCTGTAGAAAAATAGGAAAAGTGACTGATAAACTGTGAGATAGTCCCTGAGACAGAGTTAAAAGTAACTGCAGGACTTCCATGGGACTAAGAAGTTGTAATTTTGATTAAGAAGCTGAATGTCACTTAAAGGACTATCATGGACATGGTTTTGATAAAGTACCTCATTGTATCAATGGCAGAGGTTTCCCTTGGCACAGGAGAACAGATATTTCTCCAAGCTGCAGGTAATCCTGTCTTGCTGAGCCACCCACACACATTGCTACTGGACCTGACTGGTTTTGACAGAGATCTGTGGTGTGGCAGCAAGGATGCTCCCACTGCTGCGTTACCACAGGGGAACAGAGGACAGCAACTTCAGCTGTTGCCCAGCGTTTTAGATGACATCTCATAGCATCTTGTTCCTAAGGCAGGCTCCGTGGTAAAAGACAAACACCTACTCCTTGTCTTAGGACAGGGCTGAAGATCCAAGAAGGTGTCAGGACAGAGGTGGTGATGGGTGCCCTGGCACCTCTGCAAGGAGAAACCAGTGGTGTCAGTGATGAAGTTATGTGCTTCAGGCTCCTTCTGCTTGTACTATCTTATGTCTCACTCACATTTAAGAGATGCCGAACCCATCCACACTGAGATACCATCTAAGACTCAAATGACTGGGACAATATTTACTAGCTCGGGGACTGCTGAAACAGAGTATACAATTTCTTCCAGAAGTTCAGGGCACACACTATACACAACTGCAGAAGGAAATCTGTTATGGGAATGTCTGAGGGTTAATAGGCTCATTCTTCAGACAAGGAAAGCTTCCACTGCTTTTAAAAAATAAATAAATACTGGGTTAGGCCCCAGTTGTCCTCATTAATTTGGACAGAAAATAATTTCAATTTTGATGACAGAGAAAATTCTGAGTCAATTCCTTGACATATTAAAGTTAATGGGGCAAACTCTTTTCATCTCGGCCATTTTGTGACGTGTGATCAGCCTGCAGGGCTCACTCGACAATAGAGGTCAATGTATTTGCATGCTTACGTGTTTACATTCCTTCCCTCCCCACAAAAAATAAAGATCAAGAGAAGCATGTCGACCTTTAGGAACAAGAGGCACATTTCACTGTCACATTAAGACAACTTTTCTTTAACTCTGGGTTTTGGTTTGGGTCATTGATTGAAATCCAGCACAACAAATTCTTACAGCACTAATTGTTAGCGCAGGCATAAAATGTAAAGTAAGAAGGATTAAAGGCTGCTCAGGCATACCAGAGGTCTTTCCAACAAGACAAATTACAGCTATTATTTTATATCAATGAACTGTAATAATCTTGAATTCCCTGCACTGGAAGGAAAATTTGTGATAATGAACTCTTCTCTTATCTACCTTACCTTGTAGCCTGTGATAATCGGTGTACCTCTGTGGTAGAGAAGGGGACATTCCTCACGTCAGCTTAGCTCGAATGAATTTATTGAACAAAATACATTTTAAAAATCAGTCTTCCAATCAGACAATATGTTTATTATGATTAATGCTCAAGTAGAGTTGCTTACCATGGATGTCTGAAAATAACATGATTTTTAAAATAACATTTCCCACAGGAGTTAACACTTGGACTTCAGGACAGGGAGTGAAGTCTGAACGCCCCACTCGCCCTCTGCACGGCTGAGCTTTGCAGAGCAGAGAAAGTTTTCACTAAAGTAGTTGCTGCCATTAGTTTCTTGATCATTTTTTTTAAAAGTGGCTTCACCTCTGGCTTTCTGTGCTAGCGTGAAGCTGACTCCTCTGCAACCTCTTAGGCTTGTTCAGTGCTTAAGTCCCACCTGGGTGGGAGCATCTGGGAGTTTTCATTTGGAACTAGCAGGAGGTGATGCCGGATGAAAGGAAGGGTAATCCTCTCAGCATGCAATTCAGAAGCAATTCTAAGCAGGTCTCAAAAGGTGAAATCAGCTGAAGAAATGGATCACCTAGAGGTTGGTCCTGTGCTATTCAGCGTTTAAAAGTCTCTCTGCACCTCCTCTCCTGCTTGACCCATGGGGCAGATGCGCAGCGCGCAGGGTAGGTCCAGCACGGCGCGGCTGCTGGGCTGTGTGCATGCAGGCACCCCGCGGGACCCTCGCTTACCAGGCTAAGGTTCTGCTTTTTTGGTAAAAGGGGTTGCACAGTAACCTCAGGAGGGGAAAAAATAAGGGCAGAAAGCTCCTTTTCATTTCCGACAGCCACCTGCTCATACGTTCCCATCGGCCCCGCCTGTCAGTGCACAGCACGAGGGATGGGGGTTACCAGTCCCCGCTTGCTCCTGCGCAGCCCAGGAACTCAGTTCTGCGCCACTTGCCTCTGAGCAAGGGCTACAGCTACCCAAAAGGGAGGGGAGGCAGCACCCAGGGTGGCTAGCAGCCTCTTAAGGTGTAACCCAAAAAGCACAACACTTGCTGATCGTTATCGTAGACTATCTCCAGTTGGAAGGGCCCATAAGGGTCACAGAGTCCAACTCCCTGCTCCTCGCAGGACTACCCAAAACCAAACCGTATGACAGAGCGTGGGCCAGACACTCCTTGAACTCTAACAGGCTCGGTGCCGTGACCACTTCCCTGGGGAGCCTGTTACGGATAATAAGGCAAAATTGCCTTAAAAATTACTGTAGAAAGGAAAAATATGCACAGAGACTTATGAGATACTGTGCCCATGTGTTTAAATTTGTGTGTTCCAGGCTGTGAAAGACAAAGAGGCAGGAGCAGGATCAGCAGGGGGAAATGCTGGATTTCGGAAACGGCGATAGCCATTTCCCCTGCCAGCGATCCCTGATCATTATCCCATTTTTCCATCCCTAACTACTGTTGATTCATCCCAGGTAGAAAACGATAAAAATGAAACTTCAAGAGGCAGCGAGAACACCTACAGAGAGATTTATGTTGGGGTTTCAGTCTCTCAGACAAAGCTGCCGAGACCTTTTGAAGCAAACGGCAAGCTGCTCCTCTGCCTCCTCCAACTGGCAAAGCTACGATCCAGCTCCTGCCTCTCCCCCCCACATCAGCGCTGCCCCTGCACCTTTCACAACCCCCTACACACGCTCCCTCTTCTCCCACCTTTAGTTTTTGGGGTGGGTTTTTTTTGTGGGGGTGGGTGAAGGTGGCAGGACCATTTCATCATCTTTTGAACTCACACTTTTGCTTCATCACATGCTGTACTTCCAGTAAGCAAATGGTAAATTTTGTTCAGCTTCTAAAAATTAGTAAGCAAGACCAGGCTCCTGAAAGAGCAGGCAATTTGTACACGCAGCAATTATGCCCCTTCTACCACTCTTGTGCTCTTCTTTGTAATGGATTTAAGAACTCATTTCCACTACCACTGACTAATTTAATGGTTTTCTAGGATCTCTGACAGTCAAGACACTCACACGCTGACAAGATACCCATGCTGTGGATTTGGGTGACAAGAGCAGATGGAAGAAAAAAAAAATAAATCCACCTTCCAGGGTCCTTCAGTTTTAAGGAGAGGAGTTGAGCATGCAGCAGGCCAGCACCACCTTACTGAGAATGACTCCGAAGGCAAGCTGTGAATTAACACCACACATGGGACGGTCAAGTTCCCAAGAACAGCAGTGACACTGCCTCTTGAAGGATTAACGCTGCCTTTTGTACATTTTAAAGGGAATGACAGAGTGATAACCAGCGAGATTCTTTCTTTATCAGTTACTGGCAGGAGGACACTAGCTTCCAAAAAACTGCCATTATGCATAACTAGCTCACACAAAAATCCCCAAATACTAAAAAAAAACCAAAACAAAACACAAAAACCAACCAAAAAAAAACCCCCAAGAGTGGGCATGGGAAACAGTATTTAATTCATTTTATCTCTAAATATTACCTAGTAATAGCCTAAATGAGCAGAGTAAGTAAGAAAAGGCATACACTCAGTCATTTTTAGGGTACCACAGTACATAGGCTTATGTAAAAACTTGCAGCATGAAGTGGCATAGGTGATGTTGGCTGGGTTTTTTTGTTTTGTTTTGTTTGTGGATGGGTGGGGTTTTTTAAACTTCAGTGGCTCCCTTCAGTCTTACAATGGAGGGGCACAATCCCACCTTTCTGAAAGACAGTCTACATCAAAGCAAATGAACGCACATACCCAGGTAGCCACAGACAGCATAAAACACTAACTCAGCATTTCATTTCTTGTTCATATTTTTACAGTTATTTTGCCATTTTAAAAATGTCACATATCGTTTTAAGATGTGAAAGAATATTTGTTAAAAGTTGAAACCTTAGCCTTGGTTAAGCCATAGTCAGAGGAATAATCTTTACCAGAACAGCATTATGTATGTTGAAAGTGTCAGCCAGCAAGTGGCCTTGCTTTATACAGGTATATTCCTTCGAAACAAAGCGTTCCATGTTGTCAAACTGATTTACAAGCAACACACAAGTATTGCTCATCCACACTTTCAATGCAGCTGCTTACAAACAAGAGTCAGAAAACATTCTGTGTCAGCAGACCACGGCTAAAATAAAAGAAGCGAGACACATAAATCAGTGGGCAGAACATAGATGCTCAAACTGGAACTTAACACAGCACGGAAAACCCGTCTTTCTGCTTACAGCCTTGCCCGTGAACAGTCAAAAAGCAAGCATGCAGCATCCATGCTCTCTCTTCGTGATGCCAGCTTACAAATACCGCGAAGCAACTATGAGCTTACATGTCTTCCAAAGCAACTTGCCTTTCTGAAAGGCCAACGTATTTTTTATGGATCTAAAGATGGATTTGTGGCTGTCAAACAATCCATCTGGTTTCTAAAACTGAACAAACACTGTTCTTTAGTTCACCGTGTTTCGTATTAATAGCAAAATAAAATATTTGACTTTGAACTAGACCCATATGCAATCAAGCATGGACAGGTAGACAACATTTGCAACTTTACTGGCATCATGACACAACATTCCGAGTTAGAACATCATGTCATCTAGTCCATCCTCCATAAACTTCTTGTAAATTGCCATAAATTTTGCTACAAACGCTTCAAGATGATAAATGGCTTTGCTGCCCAGTTGCAGGCGGTGTTCATAGAAGGCCGCCATCTGTGCAACTTCTCCTTTCAGTTGTCCATCACAGTTATTTAGAAGTTCTGTCAAGAGGCCCTAAAAGGGGAAAAAATAGGACAGTATTTGAAAAATTATGTATTTTTTGTTAAGAGAACAACCTAATTTCTCTGAAAATAGCCAACCTATGACCAATAGTTCACTCATGAATCCAACAGAAAAGAAATTCAAGCATCATTACACCACCTATTTGACAGAACTAGATTAATGGAACTGTGTCCTTTCAGAACTGTCTTTCAAAATAAAATCCTCATGTCAAAATAGAGGTTACTTATTGTGCTCTTAGATGGAAAAATCTTGTATTAGAACTACTTGTACCTTAATAAAGAACATAAAATTAACCTCATCTCCAAATTCTATAACCTCTATTGCATGCAGGCACATGGCCCTGGGGAGAATTTCTACCAAGATAGCAAGTGTATCAAAATCACTTACTTCCTATCTCAACAACATCGAGCACAAAGAGAAAACAATAAATAACACTGAAAGGCTTTATTTAAAATTTTATATATATGTTTATATTTATGTACATATGTATGTGTAGAGACACACAAGATGCTTTACAACAATACTTCAGTCATTACAAAAACAAAATATGCATTGTTTCAGATCTGAGACAGCAATAAAATCATTGCAAATCCATCTCCATTCAAATGGTCAGGATTAAGTGAGAAGTATCTCTAGAGCATTTCAAGTTTATGAAGAGGGAGTGGGTAGAGAACAACAGTCCTCAAATAGGGTAGTGCAGGATCCACTAGCCTACCGTAAGAAAGGAAGGTTAAAGAAACATCCAGGTACCAAAACTGTCAGAAGGCAGAAATTGGTTAATGTGAAAAGAAATTTATTATCTTGTAATTATGTCTGATGGCAAAGTCCACATAGGCTAAGTTGCAAAGATTGGCTTTAATCTTTGTTCTGCTCTAGTTGACTTCAGCATGCTTTCATCCAGCCTAAAATAAAAACATGCACATCCCATTTGCTTTTTTTCTCCCAAGACTACTGCTATCCTTGAAAATACCTGCTGGTCTAGCATCCTTCAGCAAACCTCTCCGCTAAGACATAGCAAATATTGAACTTAACAACAAAACTTTTAAAAAAGAAAAAAAAAAGTATCAAAATTAGCCCATAAAATACATCTATGCTTCAACACAGAAACTGGCCTGAGAAGTCTTCATGGGGACAAAACATGTCCTCCTTTTTTTCTTTTTTTTGTACTCAGCTTTGATGTTGCTGTTCTGTGATCACAGAACAAGTTTTAGTAAACCATTCAACAGAGGTGTGAACAAGGAAGCCTGCAACAAAAATAAAACTAGACATTTTCCAAATTAGCAAACACAATCTTCCTGCGCCCAAAGTCTACACAACTCAAAACCATAAATATATTTAATATAAGTTTAGGCATGAACCTAACTAAACATCCTAGTATTTATCGACTGAGGATCACAAGAAGTGGATGTTATCTACCAGTGTTTGCAGGAACAAGGTCTTTAATTACTGCTTCAGAGCAATAACCTGGACTATTTTGGTTACTCCAGGGGAAAGAAACACAGGAAAACTATCTTTTGGTCACTCATGTCTATTTAGAAAGGACAGAGCTTTTCATCAATATTTGGGTAATTTGTGATGTTTTGGTGCGGGTGTTTTTTAAACTCAAATTGAGACTGTCATAGCATTAATATTTATAACACATTAAGAGCTAGATAGCTGAATTACCTTCATTATAATCTCAGGAGGAATGCAGTGTGTCAAGAGTTCATAAAGACGTCCACGGACCTCTAAAAGCCTGTTGGAAAGACACCACAAAACATGAGAAGTATGTCCCCAAAGCATGCTAATGAATTTTCACTATTTGTCAAATATGCTGCAAGAAAAAAAGTCAACCCAAGCAATGTTTTTTTCCTGGTTTTGTGTTATTTTAAACCCAAAAGCATTGCACAAGTCAGTCGCAATTCAATGCTACATAGCACCTTTTATTTCAAAACCAAGTTACATATACTCTAGTTACAATGGTCACAGTTAATCTAGAAGCTACAAGGCTATTGGAATTGGTCTCAGGCTTGTCTCCCTTTAACTCATCTTCATATCTAAATTATTATTCATGCTTAAGATTAGTGAGAAGACACCACAAAATTGATTAAGCCACAAGATTTGTTTACACTGTTTTTCCATCTTCATTGTTTACAAGAGGGGGTTAGATGATTACGTGGCAGCAAGTGACAGTTATCAATTCTCAACTTTTGATATCAGGAGGCCAGAGGCTACAAGCATTTAAATTAAATACAAGAATTTAAGTGACATCTCCTGTAATACATGGAACAGACAAAAAGGGTCAGGATGCGTATATGACACTGAGATAAAGGGGGTATCCTCTAATGTGCTTTAAAAAAGGGATGATTTCTCATTTCCAGTTCTTTTACAAAGGTGCATTATGCTAAAGGTGGTGAAATAGAAGGCTTAAATAGAACAAACAAACAAAACAAACACCACCACCCCCAAAACAAAAAGACAGACAGCACAACAGGCAACGAAGCTTATGCTCACTTTTGATTACAAAGCTTCAACAGAGAAAAACCAACAATTGTTTTAGTTCCTGAAGCTCATTCAGCCTCCTCTGGTAATTTTAAAGCTCACTTTGTCTGGCTGCGAAGTACCAGCTCTAGTAGAAATGGCAGAAAATTACATATAACTAAAGATGCCACGTTTTAAAATATAACTTTATTTTTTTTCAGATTCAAAGAGTACACCAAAAACATAATTTATAGCTGCAAGCAAGTGTATTCACCTACCTTTGTGGTGTTTGTTGACTGACAATGGCATTTGCAGTTTCTCTCAAATAAACTTCCCAATCCATCTCAGGAATGTCTTGATCAGCAGTAAAAGGATACCTACATAATAGTAATATTTTTAAAACATTAAAATCAAAGCAAACTGTCGCCTACTCTAACAAGGCCTCAGAAGTAAGTTCATTTATGTGTCTGAGAATATGATTTACATAAATTTTTAGCAGTGACTTACTGTTGTACTCTGCAGGACTCACACATAAGTAGTGCCTTCCGAAGATTCCTGCCAGATTTCTCTGCAAGCCTTTGAGCCAGTTCCTGAGGAAGAGTCAGGCCTTCTTTTTTACACACACTGGACAACACATGGCAGATCTAGGTGGGAAACAGATAGCAGGGAGCGCAACACTTAGCAAACAGTTTAGCACCTAGAGATTCTCCTGTTTGAAACATTTCTGGACCAGAGATGGATCAGTCTTCCATAAGACATGCTTCACAAGTCACCCACCACAAAGAAAAACTAGGTCACTGTGTGGAAATGAAGTATTTCATAAGTCCACAGCAAGAACTTATCTAGTAAGAAGTTTTAAATTACTTATTTTTGCTTCTGTTTCAACATACATCTTCAATGCTGGGAGCAGGCACTCGTACAGCCAGGCATCTGCTTTGAATAGGTCCTATAATTTTTGACATGGAGTTGCAGCACAGGATCAACCTGCAGGTCGCCATGTACTTCTCCATTGTTCTTCGCAAAGCATGCTGAGCGTCTTTAGTGAGTTTGTCGACTTCTGTTAACAGCACCACTGAAAAAGGATTAAAAATAGTGGGGTTTTTTTATTAATATCAAATCTTTCTAAGACAATGAGTACTTTGACATACAAGCAGAAAAAGGCAGCATGGTTCTACACTCAGAAAAACAAAGATTAAGACAACCTGCGTGCCTTTTTGACTGTATAATCTTCTGCTCCTTTACATGAATATAATGTCCTGGAATATCAATTTCTTCAGAGCAGGGCCTGCAGCACTTCAGTGCCAAGAAATAATCCAGGCAGGTATAGAAGCTTTCACTTTGATAATTAGTACAGTAACTTTTTTAAGGAATTTTTAAGTAAGAAATGCAGAAGAATTTATGGCATTAGGACATCCCAAAAAAGCAAAAGTTTCTTGAAGACTCTCCTCAATACATGTTATATTTAAAAGCCAATGTCTTAGCTTGACAAAAGAGTAGTAGAAAGCTGCCTTATTATTGTAGCTGCAGAGCCTTTTCATGGTCTTTCAAAGAAAAAAACATATTTCAAAAATACTTCAGAACAACTAGGAGACACCTAATATGAAGCAGCTAACCTGACCAGCTGCTTTCTGCGGGATCCTCCATAGGCAACTCATAGATGGCTCATTTCAGTACTCCAAATGTCCAGCGAGAGTAGCCTGGAGGAACAATTCATTACATTGTTCCAATGGGAACAAGCCCATTGCTGTTCTCCCATTTCTCTTCTGGTTATATAGGCAGCCTAAGGAGACCCACCAGCTTACCAGATGCTTTGAGGTGTATGGTATGACTGCAACTGTAAGGATCTATATGCCAATAACTGGTAGAGCCAATCAGCATCTAGCAGCTTAGGTAAAATACAGTGTTTCCCAAGAACAGTGAGGAAAACGAGACAAAGTGTTAAATCCATGACCATCTTCAACTAATTTCTGCTCTACTCCATCTGTCAAGATTTCACCTCTCCTTCAATCTCTTGTTATATAGTTCTGATTTTGCTTTCAGTTTAGTCATGGGGAGGAAAAATAAGCCAGCTGTAGCAACACGTCTTGGAAAACTCAATGAAAGCCTTCTTCATTTTCTTACCCAGTGTCCTTCTGTTACATTATGGATAAAATGCTTCTAAAACTTTCTGCCTAAGATACCTCATCCCCCAAAATGCTACAAATAAGCAGCTAACACCTAACTTACACAGTACCATTTGCCATAAGGTTATCCTGCCCATCAACTCAATATTAAGCCTCAGTAGCTCATAACTCAACTACTACTGTAGGTCATTAAACTAACTTACACTGCATTTCAGTGGCAGACTTAAGAAAAAGACAGCACAAATCCCAGCTCCCTCTGTCCAGCCACAGTCATTCAACTACACCCTGCCCTCCTAAGAAACCAACACAAGAGAACCTCATACTGAGTATTTAACCACTCGAGATATTCCCACAGTGGAAGAAAAATGGGGGCTTGTTTAATTTGGGAAAGGATCATGTGCGCCCTTATGCAATATACAGGTACAAACAAAACAGTCAGCTGAAATCTCTGAAAAACAAGTTTAAAACAAACTTTGACTGCTTTTAACTGTTTTCACTCACCTTTAAAATCTCGTTGAGTACTTGTCTCAAGCTGTTGGGATTGTGCTACTGTCTTCAAGAGTTCCTGAATTACTACACGGTCATTGTTTCCTGCATCACTGTACCAGGAGTTTGAATAAAACTTGTTTTAAAACAACAACTTTATACTGCATATAAAATACATCCTCCTAAGCAGCCCCTTGGTCAACTGACTAAACAAGAATGCCAAAGGAACTTAGAAGCTGTTGAGGTTAGAATTAAGCTCAACACACATACTTTGTTGAAAGTTACCTTCCTGATAACAAAAACAACCCAAAGCTTACGCAGGCACAGCTGCATTAGTAGCACTGTATTTGGAAGTAGTGAAACCATTGTCAAATGTTTTATTAACTCTTTAAAATAGAACTTATTTTTCTGGTATGAGAAATCCAAACTTTTGTTACTTGCGATTTGTGCAGACATGCAACGTGAACATTTTCACCCATTATGGAAAGAAAAATTAAGTCTAAGCATATAATAGGACACCTGACTGAAAGGACTTATGTAAACACGCAAGTGTTTTTTTCCCCTGAAAATTAGATGTCATGCTATGAACAACCTATATGCTTAATGTAAACATGAATGGCAGACACAGTGAAGGTTAAAGAGTTACTAGTAAAAAATTGATACTCTGATACTATTACAGCACTGATTGTTAACTTTTTTCCTCTTAGAGGGCAGGAAAACATGGGGAAATACTAGATTTCCTTCCTGCCTCTTCTCCTTACTATCTGCTAGAGTAGCACTGCACAACTTCCTCAGTCCCCAGGTTAGTAGCTCAGCTAGCTTGACTCAAATTTGACAACTACTGGGGACTAACTTGCAAGCTAGATTACTGAAAAAACAAAGAAAAAGAAGGGAAAAAACCCCCACACTTTAGCATCCCCAGACTATCGCCTTCACAGAGGCAGCAGTAGCTCTGCAATACTTCACTGGCAAGCAAATGAAAAAGGCATTTGTCTGTCCTGTTCTAGTCATCACTCAACCAGACCTTCCCCATTCTTGCCAAGGAGAAGGCAGCAGAACGTACAGAAGCACATTAGCTCAACAGTTCACAATCTGCTGAATAGGCTATGCTGACTTTGACTGCAGAGATCTGTCCTTCAGCAAGGGAGCAGACCTGTGATTACAGAGCAAAAAACAAAAAAGCAACACAAAACAAGCCGGTTCTACTTATGAGCTAGGTCAGTTTTTAGAAATGGAAAGCGATTAAAATAGTTTCCTAACATTTAAAGATAAATTATTCTCTGCACTAGCAGAGAACTCAGAGTTATAATTTCATGGTGAAAGATTATCCTTGATATTACGTGACTGCAGCAAACATTCCAGGAAAACAATGAACAAAGGCAGTTACCACACAAACGTTTTGTTTTTGTTGTTCCTTATTTTTTCATTACCCACTTAGGAGAACCCATTTTAAAACACCTACCCAAGCTAGTCAAGTGACCAGCAGACAATGCATTGGAATTCAGACAACATCCTCCTTTTGGAGGAAAAAGAACAGCTCTATCTAATAAAGTTCCATAATAAATTCAATGTCTGCAGAGTCATTCCCAGAAGTTAATTTCCTTTCCCTGTTAGCCATTTATCATGTTCCATGTTAACTCTCAAGATGCACTACATGATTTCACAGTGTTGTAATTCAGTCAAACTTCACAGACTATAGCACAGCACACATAGGTTCACTGTCTGGTCAGACATAAACATGACAATTGCTTGATCACTTAAAGCCTATGAACTAATATATTAAGTCTTAACCAAAACTCAGCACTACCATTATATACAATAACCAATACAGCAGTTCTACATGTTCAGAATTTTTATATTTAAAGTAAACCACAAATATTTCATATGTTTCAAGCTAATAGTACTCTATGGAGAGTCATAGAAGAAGCATTAGCAGTATTAGGTTATCAGAGCAGAAGACTGAACAGTCAGACACTTTGTATGACCAAAATGACATATTCAAACAGCTAATTACCAATAAAAATCTCAGTTTTAATTATTGGGGTCTGTATTAGAACACCAGCAGATATTCACTAATCAATACACAGAGATTAGCTGCAGAACTAGCTTTTAAAGGAGACGTGGTGCATGAGGATGGCTTCTAAAATGCAGAGCAACAACAGAAAAGGTTTAGCAATAAGCACAAAGCTAAAAGTTACTTCAGGATACACATTGTCTTATAATTGCAACCCAGACAACAGAGCCAACATAACCAAAGCCTGCCAGTGCACAATGACATTTACTCTCATGTGATTTAAAGCAACATTAAAGGGTTTCAGGTAACTACAAGTATTTACTTTGGGTCAGTGAACTATCACCAGCAATTTCGCAACTGTCAAAGAAGACATACAGTACACCATTATAGCTTCTGTCGTTTAAGTCAACATCTGACCTCGCTCATGACAGGATTCCCAGTATTTTGTGGTGGTGTTCTTTCCTGTGCTCTATACTCTTTATTTTAAGAGTTACTGGGTAAACCTTGCTTACTTTCAAATCACTTTATTTTTGTATTTGTGAGAGAACTAACAATATGGGGGTGTTGGTTCCAATAAAAGTTCTCAATTTCAACTTAAATGGTTAAATCTATGAATCCAGAACTGTTTCTGTTACCCAGTCTTCAACATCAGCATGTTTATATCTCTGGTTATTATGTCTCTGGTTAAGCAGAACATTACTGTCTTCAGTATACAGCAATCCCAATTTTTGTTCATTTAGAGCTGTTCAATTAAAAATCCTCTCCCTGCTCCCATTTGCAGTCCAAACCCATAAACCATTATCTAATTTGCTCAGGCAATAAATTAGGCAATCAGGCCCTTATATACCCAGGTGGAAAGCACTTTCAATATGACCAGTGGCTTATGTTTGAAGTGGGACATTTTTACTGTATGCTTACCTTGGGTTAACTTCAAGGTGATAATTACTTGCAATGGTGCTAATTTCAATTTTCTTTTTAGAAGGTGCCTACGTAGAAAGCAAGCATACTAAGTTTCAGAAAAAGCGTTCTAAAAATCCGATGCAAAAACTTATCTTACAGATTACAACTGGCTAGGTCACAGACAAACCAAAAGTCTCAGAAATCAAAGAGCTACTGAGACACTAGACTTACTCATCTCCTACCCCCCAATCCCACCTCCAAAGGAGGAGTACAAATACATCATCCAGTCTGTAAAATAGTAACAGCAATGATTATTATAGCAACACATAGTTCATATTACTGCATACTGCAGTTACAGAGTTTGGTAATAGGAAATCTTATTATTGGAAACAGCCATTCAAACTAAGTGATGCTTTGTCCCTCCAAATAAAAGTTTTGGAGCGAAAACCTCTGGACAAGCCTGAAGAAGCTGTTTACCTCTCTTAGCAAAGGATTTCAAGTCTATACTTTGTTTAAAGAAAACACTAGAACTGATATCACCACTGAATTTGGGGCTGGACAGTTAAATATATCCTGTATTTCTGTTATCCAGTCCAAGTATTATATTTGTTCCATTACTGAGAATTAAAAAGCAAGCATTAAACAACCTACTTATCAATAAACCTCAACAACCCCTTGCTGGTTAAGCCTTCCATAACAAGGATTTTGAATGGATAATATAACCTTTTAATAATTAACAATTAAATGCCTAAGACCAAGGCAGATAGAATTTAATTTTTTTTCCACTAATGCTGAAATTGTCACTATGGGCATGAGAAACCAAGTTAAAACTTGTGTACATGCAAAAAGCGGTGCTAATAATTTTAAAACTAAGGATTATTTTCACAGTCAAATGAAATTCTATACATCTAACTGAGAGCGAGTCTATTACAATACATGCTATTGTCCAAACCAATCTGTAAAAAAACCAAACCAAAACCAACAAACAAAGAACAATCAACCAGCCACAGAAAACGTCAAAAAACCCCACATCCTCCCACCCATGAAGACCTAAGGACCAAGAACATCTGGTAAAAGTGTTTGTTCATGTAACCAAACTAGTACGATTAATTACATAAAAGAGCTTGAATCATAGAATCATAGGATGTTTTGGGTTGGAAGGGACCCCTAGAGGTCAGCTAGCCCAACCCCCCTGCAGGAGCAGGGACACCGCTAACTAGATCAGGTTGCTCAGAGCCCCGTCCAACCTGGCCTTGAATGTTTCCAGGTATGGGGCCTCCACCACCTCTCTGGGCAACCCATTCCAGTGTTTCACCACCCTCATTGTAAAGAATTTCTTCCTTATATCCAGTCTAAACCTACCCTGGTTTAGTCTAAAACCATTACCCCTTGTCCTGTCACAGCTGGCCCTACTAAAAAGATTTTCCCCATCTTTCCTATAGGCCCCCTTTAGGTATTGAAAGGCCATAATCAGGTCTCCCCACAGCCTTCTCTTCTCCAGGCTGAAGATACTGAGTGCAAAAAAAAATATATATATTTTTAAAACTCAAATAAATATAAAGGTCTCACAACAGAAACATGTCAATATATAAATGTCCACATTACTTCACAGCAGACTGGAGATTTATTTTTTTACCGTTATACTCTGATGCTCAATCCTCAGTTTTTCCACTCCTGGACCGTATAATTCCCTTAACAAACACATTATTCTTGTCTTTTTTCCAGCTCCTGATGGTCCATACACCAACAGATGAGGAAAGTCACCACACTGAACCTGAACACAAAGCAACATGATTAGTTATCTACAATAATATTTTCCTGATAAGACAGTATTCGTCTTTCCATTCTCACCCAAGTTTACACGAAATGACTTTTTCAGCTCAGTCACAACATAGAATTAGAACTTATTTCCTATAGAACATCATATTCTTCTGAAGACCACATGTAACTCGTTTAACTCCAAACACCTCAGCCCTCAAAAAAAACAAAACAAAACAAAACAAACCCAAAACCCAACAAAGAGCCACCCCAGCATTTACATGCTTTCCAGGGTTTCTAGAGTGACAGCTGCAATAAACACACAGTAAAAAGGATTAACAAAGTTTAAAGCAAATATGCACACAGGGAATTATGTATATATATGCATATTAATAAAATCACTTTGTTATTTCATTTGCAAGCCTTGAACCTGGGCAAACAGGTACCAGATAACCTGTATTTAAATAAAGCTAGGAGCTTGTTTCTTGAAAAGCCAAGAAGCATGACCTGGAGAACATCTGACCAAACCCCACAGTCAGAATTTACATTAGTTAGACATAACAGTCATAGAGAAACACTGAGAAGAGTGAATCAATCCAGCAGCCTAGTGAAATCAGCACATCTGGCTGGGGAAGCAGTCCCTTAACACCCAGTACACAGGCCTGTCTTTTATTCCCAGCTGCTCCCCTTAAAAAAAATCAGTTAAGTTTAAGCAAGCAAGGTAAGCCCTACTCTCAGAGATACTGATCATTCTCAGCCAAAAACCAGCAAGAAGCGCAGATGCCCTCACTCCTGAAAAAGCCAAGCCACCTATTTATTTCCTCGCAGCCTTTTCCTCAGCGCCCGAGCGGGCCACCATGCCAGGGGACCACTTTCCCACCGGCGGCGCCCGGCAGGCAAGCTCCTCCGAAGGGCCTGCACCGAGGGAG